TGAGAATTCAAAGAGTTGATACATATGATAAGGCATTTAGTAGAGTATTTAAAATTAAAGACTTTCACCTACTCATTTCATTTCTTTCCCTTTAAGCAACATAAAATAAAACTGCAATAAACCTAAATCATATTGTTGTGCATGCAAGTTCTCTCCAAAATGTCATAAATAACAAATTTCTTAATGCCAACAAATTACCACTCTTTAAAAGCAAAAACAGTTGTTCAACATCAAAATAGTCATATTAAACAGACAAAATTTTATTCTTCAACTAGCGAATTATATACTATGTTGCATACCAAAAGAGTAAACTAAAGTTAAATATCAAATACTTGGCAAAATTCAATTGCAGCAGCCATTTAATAACTCCCAAATTCAGTCAAATCTACACTCACAAACCAAAATAGTAAGAAATTTTGGTAGGCATTATTTGTATGGAAATTTTATAACTAAATATTTAATTTTAAGTTTCAAAAGAAAACAAATTAAAAGACAAGATGTACTCTAACTTTACATAAAGAAAATATTAAGGTAGATTATTTTCTAGAACTTAAGATGAAATAAATAAAAAATATTAACTAAATATTTTAGAGAAGAGGTAGGCAGGCACTTAAATCACAATTCTAAAAGAAACAATTTTTAAGTGTTTATTCTTTAATATTACACAAAGGGAAATAATTTGGAAATATCACTCAGTTGGCTTTGGTTAACAAGATCAATCAATTATAAAACATTCGTATTTAGAAGTGAACTTCAAATTCTGCAAATCTTTCATCCTTATTCTAAAAAGAAAAAAAAAAATACAGAGGCTAGGGGTTATTACCAAGAGCTAGAGGCAGAGCTGAGACTCAGTTCTTTCTCAGTCCTCTGCTTTTTTATACCACATCACAATGTATTTGGGGGATTCACAATAATAGTCATGGAGAACACTGTTCTTTTTTTTTTTTCTAGCATTTAGTTAGAGTGTTTTGTTTTCTGTATAAACATTACAAGATACACTGAAACAAGAAGACGTGTGGAGTATTAGCTGGCACTCCTGTTGCTACCTAGAAAATATTTTGCTTCTTTGAAAGGAATAAAAATACAATTTAAACACATGCATGCTAACAATGTCTACTAAAAGTCTATACCACTTGTTGAGAAAACAAATTGCCTAAATATTTCATCTGGCACAGTTGTAGATAGAATTCTATTCAATTGTTTCATTCACTCATTTGTTTATTCATTTATTGCAGTATTGGGGATCAAACCCAGAGCTTCATACATGCTAGCCCTAAAATTCTATTATATTTAAAATGATCTCAGTACCTTATAAAATTTATATAAGCCAAGGAGCAGTTAAGATAGATCTTCATCCAACCCAGGGAAGAAGAGAAAGCAAAGTTATGTTTCCCAATATATTAGTGGCACTGATAATTTGTTTTTCCTTTTTTCTAATCTAAAAGATTAAAAATCAGTGAAAAGGGGAAGTTAGTATTATATAAAACTATCCTGAAGTACAAATAATTTCATAGAATTTTTTTCCAAGAATTCTCACTTACCTTAACTTCCAACCAACTAAAGTCATATCCTGATTTCCTTAATCTAGCAAACACTTTGATTCCTTACCCTACTTAATCTCTCAATATCTAAACCTATTGACTACTTTCTTTTTTCCTTCGAAGTCTTTATTCCCCAGTCATCAGATCGGATTTATTATATATAAGTTTGGATAGTCCTTCAAACTCTTCACTGTCCCTGCTTTAATGATTCCATTCTCAACTTCTCTCTCCATTGATTCAAAAATATTTTTGGAAGCTGGGGTGGTGCATGCCTGTGATCCCAGTGGCTCAGGAGGCGGAGGCAGGAGGGTTGCAAGTTCAAACCCAGCCTCGGCAATTTAGGGAGGCTCTGAGCAACTTAGTGAAACCCTTTCTCAAAATAAAAAAAAAAGGGGGGCTGGGGATGTGGCTCTGTGGTTAAGCGCCCCTGATTCAATTCCTGGTACCAACAAAAATTATATATATATATATATATATATATATATATATATATATATATATATATATATATATAATCAGACAATATACACTAGGAATTCTTCTAGATAATTGTGATATCAATAAACAAAGCAGACTAAAAATCTCTGCTCTCTTAAAGCATATATAAAAGAGTAGATAGATGAAACCATAAGCATAATACCTAAAAGTAAGTCCTATAAATTATTAGAAGCTTTAAGTATTTTAGAAAACTGAGCAGGATAAGTAGAATCTATTCTTATATTACCCTTAAACCTTTCTGTTTTGATAAGAATACCACCATCCACTGAGTCAGTTAACTCAGATAACTTATTTATTCCAATATCTTCCTTTCTCTTAACTCTCTAGATTTTACTTGTCACTGGGTATTATTTATCTGCATAAATAACTCTTTCTTCCATTCTTTTCACTGCTTTTCAAATTTAAAATCTCAACCAAAAGCAGTAGAATGAATACATTACTGTAGTTAGACTCTCAGAAGTGACTCCTGGCTCCTTCATTTACTTACAATTTGGTTTTGGATTTAACCTCCCAAATTTCTAGTTTTTCCTATATGCAAATGAAGACATCCTTTTTTTGGCTTGTTTTGACCAAACAGAATGTGTCTGGAGGTATCTGTGCCCCACAGATATTGTCATCACCAAAGATAACATTAGTATCACCATCGATAGTAGCAGCATGATTAATTCCTAAAAAATAAAAAAAAGCTTTCTAACTGGTTTCCCTTCTTATAGTTTACTCTTCTCTAATATTTTCCAGCATGAAGCCCAAGTCACTTTTTAAATTTACAGATAGGAATGCAACAAAAACCCTAAGCAGCTCCCCATTGCCTTTTCCATAAAGTACAAATGCATGGCAAAGAATTTTGTTTCTTTATTTTGTTTTTTCTCCTTCAGCTTTTCCTTTTTCCTTTTCTTAATTTAAGCTGTTAAAGCACCATCATTAAGACAAGACAGTCTGGAGCTGAACTTTACTATGAAAGATCTTGAAAATAAAAGTTCAGCTTCTCTTTTAAATTTACAAAAGACTATGGTATGATATAAGAGAAAATATGCATTGTGAGAATCTTTGCAGCAATAGAGGCCAAATAGACAACCTAAATTATTTCCTTTAGGCTTTTTGTCACCATTTCTCTTATAAAATAAACACAAAACACCATTGATTGATCCACAGACTGCTTTATGTGTTTTTTTTGGTATATTTGTAGGCACACCTATATGTCTTTGTACATGTATTAGAATTAATATTTACCAAGAGCATCTTATTAGATGATAAAAATAACACCAGCATAAAAATTAATAATACAATAAAGTCTCAGAGACTTCTATAATGTTAAAATGCACTATGGTTTTATAAACAGTCATCTATTATTAAGAAGTAAAAATATTCTATAATCATTCTAACAATATACTTGTCTAACAGAGTAAAAAGAAAACATAAAAGAATTTACTAAATAGAAATATCAAGTCTGGGCAAATTTGCAATTATATGGCAGGTGATTGTAAAAGAAGATATAACTAAAATCAATATGTTCTTTAAGCTTTCTGATTATTGAGAAGCCTCTCAAAAAATCCTGTGTTATATTACTTAAGGAATAAGCTGCATTTTATTTACTAAACATAGTAATAACATTTGAAATGTACTTATTTAAAATGCAATTACTTTTAATGATGGATCAATATGATTTAGATACTTGTGAAAATTTTAATGATATTATAATGTAAAGAAATATTCTATTAAACATCAAAAAGTTAGTTAACACAGCTTAGTACTTAAGTTGAATTTAGGATCATCACTTTATATTATGTTTATATATGTATACATATAAATGTAGACAATTAAAATTAACCAAAATGTTTCTTAGTTTTTAACCTTAAAAATACAAAGACTTTAATTTTAATATAGTTGGTTTTCAAAAAGCCAAAATGTAACACTGATATGTATATGTGTACATGTGTGTACATCCTACTGACATTTATTCAAGAAAATCATTCTGGTAAATTTGTTTGTTATCAGTTTCTTATAAAAGACAAAGTTCATTAAAAATTTGATTAATCAACCAGTATAACACAGTACATACTCCCTACAAAAAATGTCAAAAATGAAAGTAAAGAGCTTGCTTATTTCTTAAAGGAAACAGCTGTAATATGGTTTAAGATTACATTTATCCAAATGTACAATTTTAATCTAATCTTTTTCATTTCATATTACCAAAAATTTATGCTATTTTATGTGTTCCAAGGCAAACCAAAATTAACTAAACTAAAAACAATGTCTAAAAGTGCATCTACAATACTCCAAAAAAGAGCAACATGAATAATAACAGAAGATAAATAAATGCAAGGGTAAGGAGACACATAATGCATGCTATTAAAGTATCAGTATCTGCTTACACATTTAAAACAATATAGAAAATACCAATTGTTACTTTTTAAACATGACTAATATAAAGAATAAAGAAAATAAGGAGACAAAACAATACTTTAAACTTTGTTATGATAGCCAAATAATGACTTTTGTTTAAAAATAGCAAAAGTATTCTTTAGTTGTTAGAGATAAATTATTGATGGGAAGCCAGACACAGTAGTGTATGCCTATAATCCCAGTGGTTCAGGAGGCTGAGGCAAAAGGATCTCAAGTTCAAAGCCAGTCTCAGCAAGTTAGTGAGACTCTGTCGCTAAATAAAATATTAAAAAGGGCTGGGAATATGGCTTAATATTAGCACCCATGTGTTCAATTCCCAGTACCAAAAATGTAAATAAACAAATAAATGTTTGATTGGCTACTTATTTAGATATACAATTTTACAAAAGATTAATATCTACTTGGTGATACTCCTATAATGCAATGAGTCATATCAGACATCTATTGTTTGGTACCCCTTCTACCCATTCAATACCTTCAAAAGAAAATATGAAATAATATTACATTCAAGTGGGTATCTAAGAAGGGGTTATTTATGAAACAAGTGGAAGATTTTACCTGTCCAACCAGGCAAGCAGACTCTTGGCTGCTCCAATCAGATCCACAACAGAGGTCAGAAAGTCATTTGGCAATTTTCGGCTGGTCCTTCCATCATAATGACCACTCCTTCTCCTTCCTGTTATAAAGTTCTGTAGATTTTTGGCAGATGCATTCAACTTGTGAGAAAGGGTTTTTAGATTTTCTGTTTCCAAGCCATAATTCTGAATTATAAAAGAGAGAGATAACAAATATTCTTAAAGTCAGTATTTTACTTATTCACTAAAATATGCATTGAGTACTTTACTATACACAGGCAATGTGATTAGAGTTAGTGTTACAAGTGAATAAGATAGGATTCCTGGCCTACTGAAGCCCACAGTCAAGTGAGGGTTTGGGGAGATGTCAGATAAAGGACTTATAATAAAATGTGTTATGCACTAATGTGAACATGGGATAATGGATCATTATATCTTAGAACTATGGTGCCTGAGAGAGCAAGACTGTAAAGATTTGTGAGTTTAATTTTTTAAACCCAAATACAAGTTCAATTTATATGTGAAATTAACTATTATAAACAATTATTGTTTTACTAACTATTCAGTTAGTGTATGCAGGTCATGAATGTAGATACTAGGAAAACATTCTGTTTCTTCTAAGTTAGGAAAATAAACATAAACAAACAATAAAATAAAAACGCAAGAAATAAATTGTATATAATATATAATTTATTTCTGTGTCCTCTACATAATGACCCATAAGGAGTTTCTTTTATGATATCAAGGAAAACTTGGCTTCTTCAAGGAAAATAATATACTTTCTCCTTTTATAGTATAAAGTATGAAACTAAACCTATCTTTATTATTTTTTTCATGGCTGCACTAGCTCACAGTCAATTACGAAGCACACCCAAAGTAATCATAGTGACATTTTTGGTAAGTGTATTTTTATTCTTCTTTGCTTGGTTCTCACTTTTCAATTTTCAGTGATATTTATTAATTCATGCTAAATATATTGTCTGTATATTATTGTTGAAAAGGATTATATAAATAAACACAAATATGAGAAGTCTTTTTACCCTCTTGAAGAAGAAAAAGATTACCAAATTCCCTCAAATAAATGTATGGAAAATTTTTATAAGTTATAATTAAAATTTAAAGCAGCCAATTTTAGGTTGTAAAAAACCCCTAAGAAAAGGCAGTTAATGAGATCAAACAAAGGATGACCTTGATCAAATGCATAGCAGTATGCATGTCATGTAAAATTAAAAGTATAAAAAATCATAAAGCCCCAATAGTATTAGAATTTACTTGGGTCAAAGAGATTGTCTGACTATACCTCCTTTCACAGTTGAGGAAACTGAGGCATGGGTTTTAATGATTTGCTTAAAGAGCTCAGTACTTAGACCAGACAGTTAGAAATGTAAGTCACCAAACTACCTTCGAGGGGATATATCTACCAAATTCTTTAGCATCAATATTCTCCTGTTCTGAGAAGGATAGCCACAACAACTGAAGAAAAGTGGAAGACAAAGAATAGAAAAGGGAAGCAATAGTCCAATTAATTAAAATGTCAACAACCAGGGGATACCTACTTTATGTGAAATTTAATGGGTTATTTTCCTAGGATAAACTAACAAAAGAGAACTTAGTGGGGGAAAAAAGAGAAAAAAGAGGAAGGCTTTCATGCATAAACATTAAATATCAAATTATTATGTATGTTACCTCCAAAATCTTCATGATTATAAAACAAATAAATCAATAAACAAGTGGGTAAAAGAACTAAACAGAAACTTCTCAAAAGAAGAAATACAAAAGGTCAACAAATATATGAAAAAAAATGTTCATCATGTCCAGCAATCAGTAAAATGCAAATCAAAACTACACTTTGATTTCATCTTACTTCAGTCAGAATGTCAATGATCAAGAATACAAATGATAATAAATACTGGTGTGGTTCTGGGAAAGGGGTACACTTATACAATCACTCTGGTAAGCAGTATGGAGATTCCCCAAAACACTAGGGATGGAATACCACATGACCCAGCTATCCCACTCCTTGAAATTTTACCCAAAGAGTGAAAATCAGCATATTATAAAACAGTCACCTCAATATTTGCAGCAGTATAATTCAATATAGCTAAATTATGGAATCAAACCAGGTACCCATTAACAGATGAACGGATTAAAAAATTGTGAATTATATGTGTGTATACACACACACACACACACAAAATGGAGTTCTACTCAGTTATAAAGAATGAAATTATGGCATTTGCTGATAAGTGAATGAAAATGGAGAATATCATGTTACGTGAATTAAGGCAAACTCAGAAACTCAAAGGTGGTATGTTTTCTATCATTTTCAGAAGCTAAAATACAATAAAGGGAAAGGAAAGGATAGGATATCATAAAGATAAAGGAAAGACAGTAATGTAGGAGAAGGAGATCAAGAGGCAGAATGGAGAGATGGGAAAAGGGGACATAATGCAGAACGAATTCTTTAAAAAATCATGTTAAATACATAAATATACCACAGGGAATTTTACCTTTATATATAAATAAAAAACTAATCAGATATAAATAAATAGATGAGCAACAGGAAGTCTAATAGAATAGAGGAAGGAGAATGGGGAAGTAGAGAGAGGACCAGATAGAAAATGGGAAGATCAAATGAGAGGCATGAACCAAAATTCCATATGCGTTTGTTGGGATGAACCCAACTACTATGTAAAATTATAAATCTCTAATAGAAAATAAAAAAGAATATTCTTTTTGGGGTCATAGACTTGTTTTTTTAAAAGAAAATGTACTATATTAAATAGTCACTCTCAATTCAAATCGCAATATTCTTCTCTCAAGTTAAAAGATTTGGCTTATGTAAGTAAAAGAACATTCTTTTTTAAATAAAATAATTTATTTATTCTAATATGTTATATATGACAGCAGAATGCAATTCATTTCATATTACACATATAGAGCACAATTTTTCTAGTCACTGGTTGAACACAAAGTATTTTACACTATTCGTGTCTTCATACATGTATTTAAGGTAATGATGTCTACCTCATTCCACTGTCTTTCCTACCCCCATGCCCCCTCCCTTCCCCTCCCTCCCCTTTGTCCTATCTAAAGTTCCTCCACTCCTCCCACACTCCCTCCCTAACACCTTTATGAGCCAGCATCCTCATATCCAAGAAAACATTCAGCTTTTGATTTTTTGGGATTGGCTCACTTCACTTAGCATTATAGTCGCTAACTCCATCCATTTGTAAATGGCTTTATTTCATTCTCTTTTAATGTTGAGTAATATTCCATTGTGTGTGTGTGTGTCTGTGTGTGTACCAAAGTTTCCCTATCCATTCAACTCCTGAAGGACATCTGGGTTAGTTCCACAATTTAGCTATTGTGGTGCTGCTATAAACATTGATGTGGCTGTGTCCCTGTAGAATGCTGTTTTTAAGGTCTCTGGGTATAAACCAAGGAGTGGGATATCTGGGTCAAATGGTGGTTCCATCCAAGTTTTCCAAGGAATCTCCATACTGCTTTCCGGATTGGGGGCACCAATTTGCAGTCCCACCAGCAATGTATGAGTATGCCTTTTCCCCCACATCCTCAAAAGTATTTATTGTTGTCTGTATTCTTGATAACTACCTTTCTAACTGGAGTGAGATGAAATCTTAAGAGTAGCTTTGATTTGCATTTCTCTAATTGCTAGAGATATTGAAATTTTTTTCATATATTTGTTGATCGAATATATATCTTCTTTTGAGAAGTGTCTGTTCAGCTCCTTAGCCTATTTACTGATTGGGTTGTTTGATTTTTTGCTGTTAAATATTTTGAGTTCTTTATATATCCTGGATATTAGTGCTCTATCTGACGTATGTATGGCAAAAATTTACTCCCAAAATGTAGGCTCTTTCTTCACCTCATTGGTTGTTTCTTTTGCTGAGAAGAAGCTTTTTAGTTTGAGTCCATCCCATTTATTAATTCTTGATACACACACACACACACACACACACACACACACAATGGAATATTACTCAGCATTAAAAGAGAATAAAATTATGTCATTTGTAGTAAATGGATGGAGTTGGAGAATATCAAGCTAAGCAAAGTAAGCCAATCCCCCAAACCAAAGGCCAAATGTTCTCTCTGATAAGTAGATGCTAATCCATAATGGAGGAGGCATAGGAAAAATGGAGGAACTTTGATGGGGCAAAGGGGAGGAAGTGGATGGGAAGGGGGTATGGTGGAAGGAAAGATGATGAAATGAGATGGACATCATTACCCTAAGTACCTGTATGACTGCACATATGATGAGACGCTACATTGTGCATAACCAGAGAAATGAAAAGTTGTGCTGCAATTGTATACAATGAATCAAAATGCATTCTGCTGTCATATATACCTAATTAAAATAAATTAATTAATAAAAAAGAAATGATAGATGACTAAGAAGATAGACATGTTTAACCTCATTTAAATAATTCATATATTGAAACATCACATGGTACCCCATTATTATGTACAGTTTTGTGTTTTTATGTATCATTTAAATAATAAAAAAACAAATTTGCACCTACCTTCAATAAATAAAAACCTAAAAAACAGGTTCTTTGCCACTGAGATGGAGATGAGAAGTACTGCCTTAACATTTTCAAAATGGATGTTTATGATGAATAAACAGCATACATTTTCTTTTTATTGGACATGCATGGGAAAATGGGTCATTACTATTAGTACAGAAAGAACTACCTCAAGAAAAGGAAGCATGGACCTGAAATGTACTTGGCTGCTTTGTTTCTTCTATATATACCTATGTGTTCATATATTTGGCCATTAACATGTGTGCCAGGAACTGGTTCTGATTCAGAACTCATTCAACACAGTCAGTGTAGTCTCAATGTAAATGGTGTTAAGTTCAAACTGGTCTTCTCTTTCAATTATATGCATGTAAAAGCTTATATATGAAATAAAGAAATAAAGGAATATATTTAACAGTTTAGAAAACCATGTTATCTAAATACTCACTAGCAGCAAATTTTCACCATTAATAAAAATATTCAAAATTGGTACCACATTTTTTAGAATGTTGATGCCATTTTACTCAGAGTTCTTAATTTGAATATATAATGCAGCAGGTGTTTAGGTTTATAATAATCTTATTTATAAATTGAGTGAGTCTTAAAAGGCTTAATGAATTTTTTAATAAAAATAAATTGTTTTGAGATGAATGAATCAAACAATCATGTTGCAAAGAAACAAATCCTAGCAATTGCAAATGTCACATTTTTCATGCAAAATGACTATTATATGAAAAGTATATGAAAAATGAAATTAAAACTACTCTTTCTCGTCATAAACTATTCACTTATAGTTTCCAATAAAAGGTATGTTGTCAGAACACATATTAAGGGTTATATATTAAACTATATTTTATGCTTTTACTTTTTTGGTTAATATTATTTGTTCATTGTTTAAGTATACTAAATAGTAGCATAATAGCTTGAAAGAGTTAATACACCTCCAAATCATAAATAGCACACTTCTTTCTGGAATAATATGGTGCAAACAATATAGGTGCTGTTTAATAAATGTATGTTGCATGAATGAACAGATGACAAAATAAGCCTTTAATTTTTATCAGCTGCCATAACATTTATTCTCCATCATAACTAACATCAAACAGAGCAGATGAGAATATAGCATAGCTTGAAGAAACAAAAGTAATGTGGTCATTTTTCTGTCTTATAGTAGGAACTGAAACTTCAGTCAAAGACTTATGTAGGTAAGAGAAAAAAATACAGTTCTCTGAAGAAAGGCTAAGAGTTTCATTTAGTAAGATAACATTAATTCAACATCATTTATGTGCTACTCATTGGGCAAAAAGGGGAAGAAAAAACCATGAGATGGACAAACTTATCTGTCTTGGAAGAGCCCACTGTGAACTGGAGTACTATAGAATTTAAGCAAAGAATTATAATGTGATACAAGGTTTACAAGGGCCTTTTTTTCTTATCACTTCCCTATTCTGCTCCAGCCAAATCAATATTCTCATTTTCCTCTTACCACTCCATAGTCTTTCACAATTCTGTCTTTACACATGCTATTTCTTCTGCCTATATAACTACTTTGCTCATCAAATGTCTACTCATTCTGCAAGACCAATGCAAATTTCACCTACATTTTGAACAGTATTTCTCACTTTCCTTCTCTGGGATTTTTTTAAAAACTATGTTCTATTAGTGACTGTTGTCCTTCTTAATGGATTATATACATATATCTTAGGAGTACAGACTATGTTTTTCATCTTTGTATTCTCATTGTTAGCATTGTTTGGGCATGAAATATAATTTAAACACAGAAATAAAAGGAATTTAGTCTTTTGATTTCTTTTCCTGTGTTAACTTCCAGAAGAGCTCAACCACCTAATGAAGTATTCAAATGATGCAACACTATTGTGCTTAAACCCAAAATTGTGGAGATTAAAACTCAGCATATGAATGAATTTACCACAATTCCATACGAGTTCTGAAAGAGACAATTATTACTGCTATATAACACATGACAAATAGGGAACTGACAGATGACATATACATCTCTAGTCCACTTTTATCATACCTTCAGGGCTACTCTTGCTCAAATTTGGAGACTAGTCTGCTAAAAATACTATGGTCCATTATCTTACCCTGAGTATTATCCTTTTACATGATTTCTGAAACCTGATTCTGATAGAGTGCAAGTGCATAGTATGATCTGAATTTAGGTTATCTCAGTAAATAAAAATGTCCCTAAACTATCATGCCATGCATGTGCCAAGACTCCTGCATTGCCATTTTCAAAAATTATTAATGCTGTATCATTAGTGCTACATAATACATGATCAATGAGCATATGTCACTTTTCTCAAATAGCTTATGGTTTAGTGGAAGAAGATATGATAAACACCTATAAATATATAATTCAAAAATGAATTGTTGCTTAAGAGAAAGAATAGCAGGGGCAAGGGAAGATTATTTTAGACCAGGTAAAGAGTTAAAGTAATCAATGAACATCTCTTTGAGAAAATGACAGTGAAAGTAAGAAGTTGGGAGGTGCAATTCAATCTGGTTTCAGTCCACTCTGGCAAATGTTTTCAGTCAGGTGTTTTACCCTTGCTTATCCTATTGGATTTAGCGGTGTTTGGTGACATTATTGAAGCCCTTTAATAAAAATAACACTCTTATTTGTTTTGTGACAACTCTTGTAGTTGTCTTCATGCGTTTCTGGTCACTATAACCCTCTCCTTCCATCCCATCCCAAGTTTCAAACTATATCTCTTGTTTTTAGGTTCTAGAGATCTTCTCTAGGTAATTGCTTTTATATGAATTTAATCCTCATATCATTGAAATTTACCAGTTTGTATCTTCAAACACTTTTCAGCTTCAAATTAGTATGTTTCATTGTGTAATGATATTCCTTTCTTTATAACGCAGAGATACCTCAAAGTCAACAAATCCAAATCTCAGTTTATGTTCCCACTAAATCTACTCTTGATGCCACTGCCTATCTTTACTACTGCAAAATCATCTGTAGTTATGAAAGATGGATTCTTTCTCCTTCCTTTATCTGACCCCGCCACTCATGAGATCTTCTCTACTTCAGTTAGTTGCACATGCTTATTTAGTCCATGCCCTACTCAGTGCCTATGTAGATTATTTCAAATATTCCCTAATTGTTCTCCCATTCAATTCCAGCTTTTCAACTATGATCAATTACAATTTTAAATCAAGTATTTGATTATCCTTGGATGGTGCTCCAATGGCCATACTAGGAAGCAAAAATATTAAGCCATTTTAGTTTAGCTCCATTCTATTTTAAAGTCTATTTTCAGCTATTGTTTCCCATCTATTTTGAAAACTTCACTCTGTATGTTCTTCATTCTTTGTATCTGTTTTGTGTTGTTTTATCTACCTGGAATGCCATTCCATTTCTTCCTCTGCCTATTAAGTACATATTAATCCTCCATTAGGTTGCTTCAATATCATTTTTTTGCAATATACACCCATACATCTTAGTCAAAGCCAGTTATTTAATCTTCTATGCACCCATATTTAGCTTATATTTCTATTGTAGTAATTACTGATTATTTGTCTTTCATATTCCTCAATTACGCTTTTCAAGAGGACAGAAACAAGGTCTCAATTCATAACTGGCAACATAGTGATAAGTGTAATAATTGATTCTTGAATTGTGCTTAATTATCTACTCATTTATTATTAGTCATCACCATGTCACTAATAGTTATTGTTTATTGAATGAGCATGGAATGCCAGGCACTGAATTAGGCATCATACAGATATTATCTCATTTACTTTTTACATCACCTCCAAAAGGTAGTTATTATCTCCATTTTAAACAAAATAACTATGGCTATAGTTAAATTTTTTGTCCCTAAGAGTTAGTAATTGATTTAACCAAGATACAAACCAAGGTTAGCACATTACATTGAACATATTGTTTTCTCTGGGTAGTTCCTGACTCCCTAACAAATAATGGGAAGAATTTAAAACCAATCAGGTTAGTGTTATCTTACCCAGAAAAAAAACTCTGTTCCCCTTAGACTATCTAATGTACTATCAAAATCTTGCAGGCAGCTTATTTTGACATTGATATTTTTCTTGCCTAACTATGCATTGCTTCTTAATATAAGCAAGTAACCATATAATGTACAATATTCAATTTTCATTGGATATATTTGTAAAAACTACTCAAATAAGTTGATTATTTAAAAACTTCTCCAAAATGCTATTAATTAGTATTTCTAATAAAAAGTAAAAGCTTTTAGAAGGAATTTGACTTTATGACTATACACAATTGTGTGTCCAAAATTCTGCTGTGAAAACTTCCTTGGTGAGCTCTAATTTAAGTGGCTAATAACACCAATTGAGTCATAAGTTTGTTGTCATTTGGCACTAATATAATCAATTCAAGGATGCAGGAAAATACCACCTCTCGTTGGTTGAGAATTAAGGGATTCTTTTCCCTGCTACTTTCATGTAAATTAAAAGAAGAAAAGAAAAAAGAGGAAATAAATGAAAGGTAAAAAAAAGAGAAATGAGGGTTTTGTCCACCAGTTTCATGTCCTTACCAGTGCACACAAAAGGTCAACTGCTTCCAAGATCAGTTCCTGATGGCCAATGCGGCTGACTCCCAGATCTTCTAGCTCCTGATGTGTAATGCGTAGCAGCTGGTCCCCACTGATTTTCTCCCTCTCAAAGTTCTTAATATACTGCTGCAAACAGTCATCAAGACCTACAACATAAAAGTATGGAAGGTCCAAATGAAAAACAGTTGAGTCAAAAAAATTGTGGGGCAGGAGGAAATACAAATGTTAATTACTACTATACCACAAGTTAAGTTCATTTTGACTTTGTACTATTTAATCATATACCTTTCTCAACCTATAGGTGAGCTTCAGAAAAAAATAACAATAGTAGTAGTAGCCCCTTCATCATATTCCTATATATGCCTTCTGTACTCAAACACCTATCATCTTAAAAAACAAAACCTTTCTTTGATTTCCTTGAGTCTGTTTTGTTCTCCATCAATCATTCTCTTCAGACCCAGGTTGTTTATTTTTATTTCCTCACCTGCAATGCACTCCTTGATCCATTATCATTTGGATTTTATCAAAGTCTAAAAGTAAGTATCCTTATTAGATTTTACTCTCTTGAAGCCATCTTTCTCAAGAATACTTAGAGCAATTCACAAATGATTGAGAGATTGAGCTAGCTTAAGTCACCTATGAAATGGCCTGGCACAAATGATAAACTAGAATAACAGGATTAATTTTCTAGAATTTTGGGTAAGAAATACTAAGGAAATTATGCAATTAATTATATTATATCTTGATTATATTAAGAAGAAAGATGAAGCCATAATGGACTATAGTCCAGCTTAAATTTTGAGAAAGTAGAAATTATAAGCAAGTAGAGGAAAAAATTATGGGGTTAGAAGAGATGTACCAAGAAGTAAATTCCCATTACTGAGAGATTCTATAGCCATTGAAAGAGGAAAAAAGTCAGATATAAAAGCAGTCTGGGTTCTGATAGAGTCTAGTACCAAGTCACATATGCCCTTACTATATTCTCAAATTTCCTCAAAGTAACTGGAGTTACTTTGTGGCCTCACTATTTACTATCATCCTTTTCTTTCATTCTCCATTGGCATGTGTATATTTGTGAGTGATGAAATTATATCACTGGATATAGTAACATGAAGATCAGCAGTGACATTTATGAAAACTGTTTTCACAGTGATGGCAATAAGACAGCACTGCATGAGCAGAGGAGTCTTCAAAGCAGTCAGGCTATGTAACAGAAAGAGCAATAAGAGAATACCTGGAGAATATGTTACCAAATGTCTGCTTTTTCTTTAAGATGTTAGAGTTGACACCATTAAAATTGTGAGAAAACAAAAAGATGTTAGAGAGTTGAAGATATTTAAATGTAGGTAAGAACCATTATCTTTAATAAAAATGTAGTAAAGGAGAAGATGGGTGCAGATGTAGGTAGATTATGATTTTAAGAAGATGAGGCCTTTCATGTGTCTGATTAGATTATGAGAACTTTATGGACTTGTGTGAGGGTTCAGTGAGATAGTTGTAAAGCAAAAAAAAAGTACACTGGTAACATTACAAATATGTGTTGAAGGTGTGAGTAAACAGTACTAATTAGAGTATCATGGGGCAAGGCAGAATTTTTATTTTAAAGGGAAAACTCTGTGGTCAAAAAGAAGGGAAAAGATAACTAAGTGTAAGGCACCATCATGTATGCTGGAGACAGAATAGTAAATCTGACACAGACCTAAAGGATGCACTACTTAGAGGCCAAGTAAGGCACACAAAATGATCACTATATTTTGAAATATTAAGGAAAGTAGTGATGGCAGTAAAAACATAAATGGATGGAATTTTCTGGAGACAGTATATGGTGGGCCACAAAACTTGAGGGATGGCAAAGGAACAACTAAGAATGAGAACAAAAATGAATCAGAGGGGACCAAGGTATTGTGGTAGTGAGACAAGTGTTAAATGAAGCACAGCATCCCAGTAAGATAAGGACTAAAAACACTCCAAAGGGAGATTATTAGTTCTTTAAGCCAGAATAGTATCGAATAATGGAAAAAGAAGCCAAGCAGCATACCGGGATGAAGAGGGATTGAGAAATAAGAAAGTGAAGGCTTCGCATGTAGAAAAATTCTTTTAAACTACCAAGGACTAAATTTCATGCCAGCAGACACTGATAAATTGAATACAGTTAGAGTACTGACTGGCATTCAATCAGAGGCTGCATTCAAACGAATGAAAGGAAAAATACCACAAATAGTTCTTAGATAACTGAAGCCAATACAGTATATGCTGACCTGAGAAACTCCTCTTCTTTATATTTTTCAATGCCATCCTTCACAGTTACCCTCCAACAAGCAAGCAGTAGCTCTACAGCAAGTTGTATACAATTTGTTTTCACAAGAATTCTCAAGAAAACCCAATAAAATAGAAAAAGGAAGGACAATTTTCTTCTGGGTCTGTCCTCAATTACTCTGTTAAGCTTTCAATAGTTTTGTTATTTCCAAATGGAAGCATTGTTGCTGAGTAGCAGTAATATCTTCTATTTAATTTTTGTGCTCACTGTGTGCCAAGAACTATTCTAAGAACATTAGAAATATTTTCTCATTTAATCCTTAAAACAATTTTATGAACTGCATGTCATTATCATTATTTTACAGATAACTGAATTTAGGGACCATGCCCAGGATTCCACAATTTATAAATGGTAAGTCAATGTCTAAAGCCAAGTTTATCTGACTCTGATTCCAACTTACTGCTTTTAAAGATTGCACTGAATTGGAAGTGGGGCAGAGGTAGAAACGATTGTTTCCATACCTCTATATTGATCATCTGGACTATACCAAAAGTCATTACATCAAAAATATTTTTTTCTATTTTCCATTTAAAACCTTGAAGACGTGGTTTAAAATAAATATTAAATCATGCTTTGTACCAAAAGACATTTGACTGTCACATAGACACACAAAATTCAGCAGACTAATGCAAAGTAAAAGTATGTAAGAAAAATATGATTAAGAGAAACATGGTTAGTCATACGTTGGGAGTCAAAATTAAAATAATACAAAAAATCCATAACAAAGAAGAATACTAGACTTACTAATGGGCGGAAGAAGTTAGAACAGGACCTAGAACATAAACTTTAAATTGTCTAACAGTGAATGCGAATAGAGATATGGGATCATATACAGCTTAAAACATTCACAGTTAGATAAAAGCAGGCCAGTTTCTCAGAGAAATCTATCCATTCTTGACCCTAAAGTCAGCAAAAGGATTTCTCACAGGAAGAATTTCTTATGTGCTAAAATGAATACCACCTTCAATAAACCCTTTTGATAACATATCTACAAGTTATCACTGGACTGTTCCTTATAGCAAAGCTAAAATATATTTTTAAAAATAAAAATATATATTTTAAAATATAACACATTATATTTAAATATATTTTGCATTATATACATGCAAAAATAGCTGGTTATCATGTAGAAAATTTTTATATTTGCAGTCTTGAAACATGTTATAACCTATAAAACAGCTATTTTCCACAGAAAAAAAGAGCTAGTAAGGTTTCTCTTTTTATAATGGTAACAAATGAAAAAATGAGCTCTATTTGAAGTATCTTTTGAAAATTAGTTTATCAATATGTGCCTAAAATATTGTGGAGGCGCATACTATACTTTCATTTAATATGATAAAAGTTGAAGAATTCATTGCCATACCTATTTTGAAAAGCATATTTATAGACTTTCGAAAAATATGAAGTAAAAATCACAGGCAACATGAAAAAAACATACATTCAATTTATTACAATTAAAAAACTTTTGTGTATCAAAGAACCCTATAAGCAGGATGAAAGGGCAAACTATGCAAAAGAGAAAATATTTGCAAATCATATATCTGATACAGGATTAATTTACAGAATACATAAACAATCCTACAACTCAACAACTGCAACAAAAAAATGGTTTAAAATGGGCAAAGAACTTAAATAGATATTTCTCCAAAGAATACACACAGCCAATAAACACATTAAAAATACACAACATCACTAACCATCAAGGAAATGCAAAATGAAAACCACAATAAGGTGTTACCTTATACCCATTAGGTTGGTTTCTATCAAAAATGAACACAAAGTTGATAAATACAGGGAGAAACTGAAATCCTTTATAGTTTTACTAGGAATGTAAAATGTCACAGTCACTATGTAAAATGGTTTGGCAATTCCTCAAAAAATATCAGGATTACCATAGAATCTGGCATTTTCATTTCTAGCTCTATACTCAAAAGAATTGAATGCAGAGATTTGAAAAGATATTTATACACCCATATTATATAACAGCATTATTTACAATAGGCAAAAGGTGGATGCAACCCAAGTGTACACTGATGTATGAATGGATAAAGACAATATGTTGTATACACAAAAACCTTTTAATTCAAACTTAAAACGAAAGGAAGTAGTGATACATATTGTAATATGGATGAATCTTGAGGATATACTAGGTGAAATAGTTCATTTACAAAAAGACAAATACAGTATGATTCCACTTATAAGAGGTATGTATAGCAATCAAGTTTATATAAACAAAAAGTAGAATGGGGGTAACCAGGAACTAAATAAAGAGGAATAGGGAGTTGTTTAATATGTATAGTTTTGGTTTTGCTAAATTTAAAAAATTCTGAAATGAATAGGATAGTATATCTGATAGTATGCATATTTTATAATATAAAAACAGTGAATAAATGGCAAATTTTATATTATGTATATTTTACCATAATAAAAATATACTAATTAACTGGCACATTAACCTTAATTAGCCTAAATTTGCTACAAAGCCACAGCTGTTATTATTTCATATCTGATTACTAATGCTATGCTTATATGTAATTAAATTTCTCTAACAGAAATATAATTTTTCTTTCTAATTGAATACAAAGAAGCATCAAGGGAAGTGATATAATTGAAGGAAATGTATGGGAAGAATTCGGGTCTAGAGATGAAAAGGAGTCAACTAGACAATGACAGAGGAAAGGGCATTAGACCCCGGAAATAGCAAAGACCCAGAAGTAGAAACAAGATGAAGAATGTGAGGCATTAAATAAAAAAAGGCCAGCAGAATACAATTAAGACTGCATTTTGAAAAACTTTCTCTGTCTTCAACATGTAGAACAGTAATCTGTG